TTTGTTTGGGTCCGGAGGTGTGTTTGGGGGTGTGCACGCGCGTGGGGGATTTTTTGGGGCGTGGGAGTTCTGGGCCCTTAAAATATTCCACCCTTCTGCAGACTTGTAGCTGCTGGGCGGTGCTCTCGGCTGTCCAGATGTCAAACAGTTGTTGCTTTTTGGCATGCAAGATGCAATTAGCCAAAGTCGGTTCCCAGCTCTTTGGCGAGCGCGCTTGTGCCGCCTCGGGAGTCCTGTCCTGTGTTTCCCTCGGTGACAAACGGCATTTCAGTTGTGGGGTTTAATCTATGCAGACTTCAGCTTTTGTTTCTAATTCCTGAAGCTCGCGGCATTTTTTGACACTGGTGTCTGAGTCCAGGGCTGTCTGTCTGTCTCTGTGTGTTTTGCATGATCTTGGATTGACACCCTACTGTACCCAAACATTAAAAAGCCTATCTTTCCGTTGAAGAGGACAGGGGTTAAAATGAACGAAGACCTGAAGGTCAATTTAAGCGGACTGCCTCGGGATTGTATAGATGCCAGTGCTCCGGAAAACATCTCAGCCGCTGCCCCCTCCCAGGACCCTGTGGCAGAGTCAGAACCTGAGCTTGTTGTCAACCCCTGGGACATTGTCTTGTGCAGCTCAGGAACCCTCATCTGCTGTGAAAATGCCATTGTGGTCCTTATCATCTTCCACAGCCCCAGCCTTCGAGCACCCATGTTCTTGCTGATAGGCAGCCTGGCTCTTGCAGACTTGCTGGCTGGCCTGGGACTCATCATCAATTTTGTTTTTGCATACCTGCTGCAGTCAGAAGCCACCAAGCTGGTCACAATTGGACTCATTGTCGCCTCTTTCTCTGCCTCTGTCTGCAGTTTGCTGGCCATCACTGTGGACCGCTATCTCTCACTGTATTATGCCCTGACATACCACTCTGAGAGGACCGTCACGTTTACCTATGCCATGCTGGTTATACTCTGGGGAACGTCCATCTGCTTGGGGCTGCTGCCTGTCATGGGCTGGAACTGCTTGAGGGATGAGTCCACCTGCAGCGTGGTTAGACCTCTCACTAAGAACAATGCTGCCATCCTGTCCATCTCCTTCCTCTTCATGTTTGCACTGATGCTTCAGCTCTACATCCAGATCTGTAAGATTGTGATGAGGCATGCCCATCAGATAGCCCTGCAGCACCACTTCCTGGCCACGTCGCACTATGTGACTACCCGGAAAGGGGTCTCAACCCTGGCTCTCATCCTGGGGACCTTTGCTGCGTGCTGGATGCCTTTCACGCTCTATTCCTTAATCGCCGATTACACCTACCCCTCCATCTATACCTACGCCACCCTCCTGCCCGCCACCTACAATTCCATCATCAACCCTGTCATATATGCTTTCAGAAACCAAGAGATCCAGAAAGCCCTCTGCCTCATTTGTTGTGGGTGTATCCCTTCCACGCTGTCCCAGAGAGCACGATCTCCCAGCGATGTGTAGCAACCTTCCTCCACCTGCAGGACACTGCCTCCACCAAGCACCCTGCTGCCCAGGATGGCCAGTACTTTCCTCCCCTTCGGTCCTTTGCGATGGATTCTCACAAACAGAAGCAATGACATCAGTCAGATAAGCAACGACAGTAGAAACCATGTCACCAGTGTTAAAAACAAAAAAGAAAAACAAAACGACTTCTCTGTTCGGCGTTATGTTGTTTGCTTCAGAAGTTAGGTTTACTATTATTTTAAAAATATTTTATTTAATAGGTTTATTTTTCTTTGTTTGGAGGTTGTAGTGGGACCCCATGTGGTCATGAAATGATGCACCAGTCCTAGGATTTTTAACCTAGACCTGAAAATAAATTGAGGTTTTTTTTTAAGGAAACTGGAGAAGGGATTACCTTTTCTGGACTTTTTTTTTTTTTTCTAGTAAAGGTGGATCTTCCATTTTGTATGTATCTAACAGGATGTGAGCTTTTTCATATGACCAAAACAGTTTACATAATTATGTTTGGAAAGACTTGTTTTCAGTAACACGAACTCAGTAATAAGTTACCAACAACCAAACCACAAACTCCTTTATTCTTCTCTACTCTCAGCAGTTTCTGCCCCTGAGAATGACTTTGCAGTGTCTCTGTGTTACAGTTTGGCATGCATAGGTACCTGTGCTCGTTATGCCACTAACTGCAATATTGCCATGTTAAACCCAGAATTAAAAGAGTCATTTTCAATACAGTTTTAATATATTCTTTCCAAAATGAGTCATGAAAAAACGTTTTGAATTATATATGAGGTAGCACTAATTAGATTTGCCATTGTGATTTTTAAAACTTCAGTCTGGTCAGTTTTCAGAAAACAAAAGAGAAAATATTAATAGTATCTATTGAAAGTAGATTATATTTATTTTAATATATTCTGAAAAATAAATGAGTATGATGCTGTTAAGAAATATACAAACATCACCTTTCACATTTCTATGTATGAATATATTAATTGTTTTTCTTGCTTAAATGAATAGACTTAAGTATTACAAACCAAACTTTTCTGGCTCATACTGTTGGTAGTGCAAAATGCATTCTGCAGCAGGTGGTCTCCTGTCTTAATGACTAGGTCTGTGAAATGCCCAGTTTAGGTGACTGATGTGTGTCCTGTGGGCTCACAAGAAGAATAACCATGTGTTTATTGGTGAAAAGTTTAATTTCTTTTCACTAAAAGATACAGTGAATGCAACAAGGAGGGTTACCTGCTTTCAGAGAGCAAAGGTTTAGCTGAGCAACTATTACAAGAAGTGACTTGAAACACTCAACAAGGTCATTGTGCCTGAATGTCACTTTCTGTGAGGGCAGACAGATGCAGACACAGACACCATCCCTCTGTAATGGGCTCATTGCTGTGTCGCTACAGGAAGTGGAAGAATTCCTGGATGGTGCATCGAGACCAGTGTCCTCAGGGGCATCATTTGTAATAGGTCCCCCTCAAAGATTTGTCCAATCAGTGTGCCCATGGTGGCTTTAGGACCAGTCTCCAAGCCTGCATGCCAAAGCCATCCCTCCAATGCTGCTTCTCAAGTAACACAAGTGAGAATAAATCCTCTACTTGAATCTGCATCTCCTCTCAGAGGCTATTTGTGGAAGCACGTGAGGGGTGACATCTTTAAGAAGTGGGAAAGGATTTTCAGCACTGTATAATCACCCCCTGTCCAGCTGACAACTTTAAAACATGCCTTTTGAATAACAGATGGGCTTGGTAGAATGAATAGGCTGTGTTTATTTAAATGTCTTATTTATTTTACTTGCATATATGTACATGTGTGCACATCTCTATGTGTGTGCACATGACTATAGGTACCCTGAGAGGCCAGTGGGATCCTACTGGCCTGGAGCTGGTGTTACAGATGGTTGTGAGCCACATACAGATGGTGGGAATAGAACCTAGGTCCTCTGCAAGAGCAGCCAGTGCAGTGCTCTTAACCACTGAGCCATCTCTCCAGCCCCAGAAAGTCAGTTTAGACATAGGCAGGAAAATATTCATAATAAGGTCTTAAAAGCAAAAGATGATGTTTTATGGAAAAAAGTGGAAATTCTCATTTGAATATCTCTGGGAGGAATTACAGGAGAACAGTAAGTTTTGCCTGGACCATATGTATTCTTAGTCCCATATTTGGTGTTTTACCAACTTTTTAAAAAACTGTAGCTGTGAAAACACACTTTTGTGGCAAGAAAACCATAGCTGCAGAGAGAGGCGAAGAAACAGAGTGAGGCTGTAGTGTAGGGCTAGAACTGAAGATAGGTTTTCCACAGCCTAGATCAAGGTCCTTTCCTGAATAATGTTGTCTTTGATCTCTCACTCCAAAGAAAGCTGCCTTTTAACATGTCACTGTCACAAAACCTGGGTTCTATAATTAAGAGAAAGCATCCAATTTAAAATTACATATGGACCAATAGCCAATGAGGGTAAATGTTTGTATACATGGTGAGCTGGGTGAAACTGTCTTATATATTTACTCAGTGGTTGCTTAAAGTTTTTACATTAGTTTGTTTGTGTATGAGTGTATGTTGTGTGTGTGTGTTGTGTGTGTGTATGTATATGTGTATATTTATATTAGTGTGTGTATGTATGTGTGTGTATGTAATCATGTTTGTATATATATTGAGTGTGTGTATATATGCATGTGTGTATATGTATGCATGTGTGTATATGTATGCATGTGTGTATATGTATGCATGTGTGTGTATATGTATGTGTGTGTATATGTGTGTGTATATGTATGTTTGTGTGTGGATGTGTGTGTATATGTATATGTGTGTGTGTACCACAGTACAAGGATGAACGTCAGAGGACAATCTGTGAGAGTCAGTTCTCAGGTCTCTCTTTCTACATGTGGGTTCCGGGTATTGAGTTTGAGTCATTAGGCTTGGTGGCAAGCGCCTTTCACCTGCTGAACCATCTTGCTGGCCCGGTGGTTGCTTTTGACACATTTTTTTTTTTTTTTTTTTTTATAAAACACCCGATTTGACCCAAGAGGGTTTTCTTCAGTTCTTACTGTTTAAATTTTTTAACATTTTTTAATTAGTTCAAATTAGGAACAAGCTTGCTTCACATGTCAATCCCTTCTCCCTCCCCTCCCCTCCCCTCCCCCCATTGTTTAAATTTTTAAGAGTTTTTAACATTCAAGTTATTTCCTACAAGGTTTCTTTGTTTTTAATAAGGATAACCATTAAGAAATGAGCAACCATCTCAATATATTATGTATATGTGTACAAGGCTATGAGTATATATTAATCATATTTTGGGTCACTTTAGAGCAGCAGAGAATCTTTTATTCCATATAATTACAATTACTACTTACCAAGGAATTTATAGTCTTGTCAGTAGAAATAGTTGTATCTGTAAGACAATTTAATTATCTTACCAGACTCCTTAATTAGTCCAGAGAATTTACCCAGATGGTGGCTACTTGAGTCCTGTCTCATTTTAGTTTTTTACTTTCTCTATTTCAGTTGGTTTTCCCTCTTTTTTTTTTTTTTTCTTTTCCTTTGCTGAGGTTTAAACCAGCTCTTTGCCCCTGCTAGGCAAATTCTCAGTCACTGAGCTACACACCCAGCTCCAATCAAGTTTGCTGGTGGTAGAGTGGCCCTTCTTCCTGGTAGCTGAGACTGGGGGGTGGGGGGTCTTCCTCATTTAGACGCCTAAATCAAGCCAAATTGTGGATCAGAAACAGCCATAGATATCCCCAGGATTTGAAGCAGGATGGAAACACAATGAAGACAGGGATCTGAGATATATCATCGCCCCCCCACGCAAAAAAAAAAAAAAAAAAGCAGAACAGAGATTCCTTAAAGTTAAAAAGATACTCAGCAGTTACTAAAATATTGGTTGCTTTACTTCACGGTCTCAGCAAGCATCCTGCGGAGATGAAGAGGCACCACTTCACGCAGGAAGTAAAGCTGCAACAGCGGCTACCCCGGTATGATTTTGAGCCGGGTTTACACTCCTTCCCACCTTGCTGATTCTTGTACTGTAATCCTAGAAAGCACTGCTTTCTTGTCCTGTCTGGAAACTGTGATGCTTACTGGGATGCTTTTGGAATCTACTTAGGACCTTTAGATTTATCAGCTATCAGCTTAGGGCTGGAGAGATGGCTCAGTGGTTAAGAGCACTGGCTACTCTGGGGCTCTGATAGCCTCACACAGACATCAATTCAGGCAAAACAGCCACACACAAAAATAAAAATAAACAAATTATTAAAAAGAACCATTCAACTAAGGATTTTCTTAAATTTTTCAGGACAGGGTTTTTCTGTGTAACAGCTCTGGCTGTCCTGGAACTCGCTTTGTAGACCAGGCTGGCCTCAAACTCCCAGAGATCCGCCTGCCTCTGCCTCCCAAGTGCTGGGATTGAAGGTGTATGCCAACAACACCCGGCCTCAACTAAAGATTTTATAATAATTTATGTATTGTGATTAAGTTAGGAGACATATCTGCCTTCTAGAAAACAATGAAGAAAGAGATTATGGTCATTTTCATAAAGACATCTAGAATGTTCTGTGTTTGGGAGGCATAGCATATGAATCCTCAGGAATCTTGTGGAAAGTCCAGATTCCAGCCCCCGGGTCCTGGGCGTGACTGGCTGTCTCTCTAACTCTGGAAGGATTGAGTATCTGTAAGTGACACTTTGAAGTCTCCCAAATAAAATGTCAAATTTTCAACATTTGCCAAATATTAACATAATACATAAACATCAATCAATAAATACATGTGTTTAAAGTGTTTATTCTCATGAGTATTAATGAATAAACAGAGTATATCCAAAGGACATGAACTTTAAACCTTCCTAGACTTTCCCAACATGTAGCTATGTAGACCTGGGACTGTATGGGTTCCATGTCAGTGTCTCTGTTTTAAGATCCGATTGTCATGATCTCAAGGTAGTAATTTCTAGAAACTCCATGTAGTGTCCCACCTGCTGCTGCCCCTCCCAGCAGCAAAGGCCTTCACCTCATTT